TGTTGCTGTTGTTGTTAATGATGCTGGGGTTGTGGTTGTTGTTGCAGCTGCTGTCATTGATGATGCTGTTGATGAAACTTGCCAGCTCCTCGAAACCTCACCCCGAATCTCACCTTACACGGTTTCGGGTTCTCGAATTTTGGGTTAGAGTTCATGGTGCAAGTTCACCCAGCCCAGGCTTGCACAGTAACCCCGTGGTGGTAACCCATTAGATTTTCGCTCTCCGGATGCATCACCGAATACATGTCTACACAAACACTTAAAACACAAGGCAGCATTGTCTTTTGTTGCCGTGTTGGGGACAACTATCCGTCTATCCGCTACCTACCCAAATCTGCAGGACATTTCAACGCAACAACCTACGACGACGATGATGACAGCATGACCTCAAGACCACGAGATGATCCACGCCAGCATCGCGCACGATGGCCTGTTGTTCCTCGCGCCTTGGCTGTAGCAGGAAGCAGTCGGCAGGGCTGATTGTTACTTACTGCTGCTTCTATGGATCTCCTGCGACTTGCTTTGGCTGGCATGGGTGAGAGGCTGCATGCAAATGCCAAGACTGCGGCATGCCTCACCCTTCTCCCTTGCCCAGTCATCCTGTCGCTGCTGCTCTTCCTCCCTGCCGTTATCATTGCTGCCATGACCAGCAGCCACATCTGAGTCTTCAACATGTTACCCGATTGATCAGCCTTCAGCTTCATGCTCATCAGTATTTTCGCTTCCATCATCGCCATCACCCCCCCCCCCCCCCCCTCATCATTGTCATCATCGTCATGAGAACCATCACTACCAGAAACCGACAGAGGAACGACAACCTCCTTACAATCGTCATGATCGTTTCTTTCACCATGCGCACCGTCATCCTCAGTGCCCTCTGTACAATCATGGCTAGGATTCTCATCACCATCTTTGTCGTTGTCATCTACATTTGGGGGACCAAGAGACATTCGAATGGACTTTCCGTGAAGTGCACTCCTTTCCCAAAAGCAGGAACAGCTGCTCAGAAATTTCATATGCTCAACCTTCAACGCGGTGTGTCTCCCTACTACAGACCCGGTCTCCTCTCCTCGCCCCCCCGCCTCATCCTTCCTAAACACTGAACCCAAAAGACCAGCGAGCAAACTCCAGCGCGCCAGCAGGCCTTGGAGTCAAGGCCAAGGCCCGGGCAAAGGGATGTGACAGTAGTGGTAGTAGTGGCTAGAGATAGTTCAATATGCTATTGTTTTTGATAATTAGTAGTA